AAAATGAGTATGAGAATTAAAGAGTTTCAAAATTATGGTTGTCAAACTGGGGCTTAACTTATCCACACCATCAAGACTAAATCTTTCAATTTTGGAATTAACAAATGGTATCAGAGTTTAATACTCTTTAGTACCTATGAAAAGGAAAGTTTTTTAACAGATTAAGTGCACGGTCAGAAGAGAACCAGGAATTTTCCCATTATTCTGGAATTTCTCTCAAAAGCTTATACATCAATATTGTAAAAATGTTCCAACAAATAATCTATTGTAGTTTTCTTTCTTCCATTTCTGATCAATACTTGCTCCTAGTTTAAGAGGAAAACCAAGCAGGACATTACGGTTTGACATTTGTACCTTGATTTATGGAATTAGAAATTCAAAATGGAAAAAATCCCCAAGTTGATAATTTGTCATCCTTAGACCTCATTTCAAAACTTTCATATGGAACACTTACTAAATTCATATTATGCCCAGGTTTTTGTACTCCTACATTTTTGGAATTAAGTCCTGCTCTCAATTAGGAGTACAAGATTTAAGCAAACCAAAATAGAAAACATACATAAGCAAATACACACAGGCTTCGTACACTAGCTGGTGCAGATTTTTTTTATGTGCCTACCCATAGCAACAGTGCACAACATCATAATAAAAAGAAACAGTTAATTCTCAGCAGTTTTGTTAACAAAAATAATAAAACCTGAAGTGGGGCACCCATGCCAGGGCCTTTGGTGTAGCATAGGCAGTCAATCTCATCAGGTGTAATTTGAGCCTCCTTTAACGCCGATTTGACAAGGGGGAGTACATGATGGAGATGGTGCTGAGCAGTTTCCCTGGGTAGAAAGCCTTGGCCGGGTGGGGTAATGTAAGTGTGACGTGGGTTGGACAAAATGGTGCCATCCAGTTTCACCACTCCCACTGCGATTTTGTTGGCCGAACCCTCGAACCCCAAAGCTATCAAGTTCTTCTTGTCCGCCATTGATCTCTGGTTTTCACCGCCAAGTGAGTGCTTGTGTGAGGGGGAAGGGGGCGGGTTTAATTAGGGTTTTGGAGGATGGTAGTTTTGAGAGGAAAGTAGAAATGAAACTGTCGTTTTCGATAGATAAATTGCAGCTGGAGTTTCAAATATTTCAAAACAAGTGCATAAAGGTCTCAAACCTTTTATTTTTTGCATCATTGTCCCAATTATTAATTAAAAAATACGGTATAGACCTTTGAACAATAACATCCAAAAGTCTTTTCAATGTGTGACCTCTACTTTTACTTTGGATCAAATAATAAGGAAATAAAATCAATCTCATCGTGACGTTCGTTATCTCACTAGGGTTATGTCTACAATCAGTCCAACAGTTTGATGTGAATGTATGATTTCTTATTTTACCTCAAACATGATACTTCCATCAAGACGTCAATCTTGTACCATAGAGTTGTGAATCGTTGGTTGGACAATGATTTTATTAGAAGATCTTTAGCCTCATTGAAGGTTGAGACGTGCGAGATAATAAGATAGTCATTCACCACTTTTTCACATACGAAATGGTGATCTATTGCTACTTGCTTCATTTAGGAATAAAACATAGGATTGGCACAAAGATGAGTAGCTCTTAGATTATCACATAGTAACCATGACGAGATTAAGATTAACCAACCAAGAGATTTCTCCACTATTGAAGCTATAAAAGCTGAGGTAGATGTGCGGACATCACGATCACTTGCCCAATCAGCATAAGAGTAGGTCTGGCCTTGCCTCGACAGCGTACGAGCGAGTTATTGTGCGCCTTGCTATTTCTACAATGAGCATATCTATACAAAGAACTAAAACAAATTCAAAACTACAGTGGACATTTGTTCCAAATCCACTTGCATAAAAAATGTGTAGCTGAAGCGATGTTAACTTCAATAAACAGCTTTAGAGAAGCTATCTACCAATAATAGTAGAAGATCCTGAGCATATGCTGAAATTATCAATGACTTTCATAGCTCTTCAGATTCCAACTCGCTAACATTTTTTACAATGTGTTGGATTCTCTTTGACAGGGACTGATTGTGCTCCTCAATGTGCTGAAAAATCATATCCAGTTGCCTTTTATAGGTTGCAGCTTGCCTTTCAGAGGTTGCAGCTCTATTTTTTGCAATTGAAAGCTGTAAGGAGAGGAGTAATTTGCACCTGCACAGGTCATATATTAAGAAATGCTAGATCTGAATGAAATTAACAATTTGTATTTTTGAAATTAGAACGTTATTTCTAGGTCTATCATGCCAGCAAGTACCATTTAAGCTAAAAGAGAGAGAGAGAGAGAGTGTGTGTGTAAATTGGCGAGCATACAAATGAGAATGCATGCTCAACAAACAAAAAACCAGGAAAGTATCATTGATCAAGAGCATCATCTTGATTCCTGAACGAGACCCTTTCACAAAAATAATATTGACCCGAAAGGAAAATGGGGTCATTTCCAAGCCATAAAATAACATATTATTCTTTCATGAGATGCATAGATAGAAATAATTTTGCTAATGTCTTCAAAATCTTTAAGAAAACGTTAAAGAAGCAATGCTGCTATTAGATGGGAGGAGCACAAGAAGATGCCCGTGAATACCACCATCTTTGGGAAAACTAGTAGTTCAAAAAAAATATTAGTACGTATGCACGACAGCAGTCGAAGAATGGGCAGAGTCAGATGACTAAAATATTCCTATTCGAGAAGCAATTTCAAATAACCTATAGTGATCGAGACTTGCAGACATGTTCTCACCAATTTGAATGTATTTGTGATATCCAAAGAAGATGAGATATTCCAAATAAACTTAGGAATGTCATAAACAGAAACAGGATTTATATTCTATGAGACACTTTACGTACTTCTGGCATAAGCTTAATGATACAAAAAGAAAAATCATCATTTATATTTCATATGATTTTGCTGGTGCCATATTTACTAAAACACAACCCTTTCCATAATGGTTCAAATATGAAGGCTTCAAATATGCCAGGGCCATTTCATGATTATGGTCCTTCAAAAATCTTGTAACCTTCCATTGTCCATTGTCATCACATCCGAAACATATAAAATGTGTGACCTATAATTTAACTTAACAGTTTGCAATTGCGCACACAATTTATAGGTTGTCCACAAGATCATAATCAGATCACAATCACATATTAAGTCATACATCACAATCACACGTTTAATTCATCATGTTCATTATTTTTCCACCCTACCTAATTTCACCCCACCCCACCTCCTCCCACTTCTTCCATATCACGTTTAATTGATCATGTTCATTATTTTTCCACCCTACCTACTTTCACCCCACCTCGCCTCCTCCCACTTCTTCCATATCGTTCTTCAACCTATTTCTCCATAATCGACAACCATTACACCACCGTCGACAACTACCACTATCACCGTTCTCCATCACCACCACCTCCGTCACTGAAGCAAACACCCCTCTTCGTCGCTCTACCTCACCATCACCACCTCCTCCATCGCATTTTTCCAGTTTAATTGAAACATTCATCAATACAATAACATCAAAAAAATTGGAAAAACTGGACAAATAAAACAGAGTGCAAGAATCTATAAAGAGAAATGAATATAAGCACCTTTAGCAGAATCTCCCCTAATGAAGTTAAGACCCACCATGAAAGCATTAGAAAAAGTAATGTTTGTAAATTTTGAAAAGAGAAAAGTAATATTTTGTTTTTTGTTAAGAAAAAAATGATGGTTGAGAAGATAAATGGTCAAATTAATTATATGTAGAGAAAGTGATGACTGTGAGATACTTATATGATACATAAATGTATGTCATAAATTTTATGCCATTTATATTATTTTTTAGAGATATTTGCATTTTCAAATTTTATTAATTTTTTATGTTTGCATATGATAATTCTAATTGAAAGAATTTCTTAATTATAATTTTCGTTTTTTTTTTTACCAATCAATTAACCTTACATAATTTGGAATTCTCATCAAAACGGGCAATTGGAAGATCGCCTACATCACTTAAAGTCATGGTTGGCCCTACGGCCAAGATGTCCTCTCTCATCTATTACATCGCTATAGATTGTTGCTTCGTTTTGGATCAATAGGGTGGAGTGTAGGCAGGGACAGTGCGGGTACGGATCCAGATTCTTTTTGAAGTGATAGGGTGGACAGATGTTGGGGTGCAGTGGAATATACGTGACTTCTGAAAATAAATAATAAACACATAATTCGAGAATTTGTAACTTGAAAAGGAGGAATCGGGGTAATTTGCTCTTGCTTACACTTTTTGTAAAAGAGCTGAATTATAGGACAACTTTCTCTGAAATCTCTTTTAGTCAAGCAAAGTATTTTCAATACATAATTCTAATATATACATAAAAACAACTTTTCCGTCTCAAAAGCAACTTTTAATTTTTCAAGAGCCCTGTGAGACCCCCGAGCAATTGAGATCTCAATCGTTTTTGTTTGTTTGTTTGCTAGACGAGGGTCCCAACCTTCGTTCACGTTTCACTTATTTTCCAACTTTTTTGATATATTATCATCTTCATGCAGGTACTAGTGGTTCCAAAATTAAATCCCTTTAGCTATCATCTAGTTCAAATACTACGTGCACCACCACGACGTGATGTAGAACAAACCTTTTTCGAGTTGCCTAAATACAATAAGATATGATGATATCCAAGATACAGGTAATATAGTCAAACTGAAAACCAAACACAAGTGAAGAGTTTCAAGCGTGCTCTAGAAAATAACTAATTATACACAAAACTGAAGGAAATATCAAATTCCCCCTCAATCGAAAAATTTGAATGAGAGAGCAAGAAAGTACTCATTCTGCAACCACTAGTTCTACAACAAATTGTTCAAAGAACTATCAAGGAATGCGTAAAGAGTCGAACATTCCAATCTATATCTAAAATGAAGTGAAATTTTCAAACAATTAACACTCAGCATTTTGCATACTTTATCTCGTTTTCATATCATTAACGACGTGAGAACCTGAATATGTTGTCATTATCTATCACTTTGTTGCTCTTTGGACTCCATCTCCCTCACATTGTCCACAATGGCTTGAATTTTCTTTGAAAGTGATTGATTGTGTTCTTCGATATGCTCAAATACCATTTCCAATTGCCTTTTATAAGTTGCAGCTTTCTTTTTCTCAATGGCCACCTGCTGTGTTAGCTCCCGGATTTTATTGTGCTCATTCTGCACAACAAGAAAACCAATGAATATTTTAAGACAAGATTATGTCAAGCGCACACTGTGATTAGAGACAACAGAGAAAATAATTGCTCAACTCAACTCAATAATCAAGATGGTTAGTTGTATTCATTCTATAGACCAAACATTTAGTGTTCAATAAGAAAATAACATCAAAGAGAAGGGGGATGAGCCTGACAAGAAACGAAAAATGGAAACACAAGAACACCACATTGGAAGCAAAAAGACTTGATATTCCAAATGAAACACGTCAGATTTATGCTGGGGCACAAGTCACATATTATAGGAAAAAAGCATGTATCCACATGATATTTAAACAATTTTGTGCAAATTAGACAGTCACTACCATAACTGGCAAAGCTTAAATCTTAATTTAAGCGGATCAAACATTTTATCCACACATTTCGTATGATCCATCACTTACTACCCACTTATTATCTAGACATTTCGTAGAACCTACATCTTATAATCAAAAAGCACTACCAAGCAAGAATATAATAATAATCATAAGTTTTATGCATCACACCAAAGGTTTGGGCTACATCACAAAACACCAAAAGAAACTTCAAAGGCTCTTCAATTCTTCCAAGTTAACTTTTTTTTAAAATTTTAATGGGACCTTTGGACAGATGCCTGTTGGAATCTACTAACTGATGCCTAGAGCTTTCACTCTCTCTTCTCCATACTTTCAACTAAAACTTTTACCGATTTGTTAATAGCTTCTTTTATGTCTTGCTGACCAATTTTTCCTTCAACCCACAGAAAAATATCATAGCATTCAAAAATAGCCTCACGATCTTTGATTATTAGCCTCTTAGCTCGTCCAAATTGATGACTCTACTACATTGCAAGTCACATCATGAATCATCCATAAGAAAAGGCTGAAAAGAAAGACCAGGCTGCATATACAATTTCCATAGTATGAAAATTCTTCAAGGATCCTGAATCTGAGAGGCTGAAATGCAACTGATTCAGAGTTCAAATTTTCTCACTCCAAGTTAGTAAGGTTTTGATTTTTACCCATTTCTGATAATCAGCATGCAATAGACCTACCTGATTGTGAGACCACAAGTGCCTGAGCCATAAAATCGAAGCTGAACCAATTGAAGTTCTCAAGGTGAAAACAGAATGTGCTTTTAATGACTTTCAAGGGAGGGATAAAACTGATGAAAAATACATTTTTAATCAAATTAGAGGCCAGCACTAAACGTCTGCCAATTACGAAAGCACTAAATGTGATGACACAGATGGAAAAATAATAATAGCAAGAAGTAATAGTAAATTTGGAATTCACAAATTTAAGTAGTTTGACAGTGTTGCCTAGGTCCACGCAGGGGGAAGACTGCAGTACCACTTTTAGAAAGTAAGATTACAACAAGCATTAATCTCGTAAAAGCTCAAAAAAGAGAATAACATTTTCAAAAAAAGATTTTATGCACAATAATTAATTAAAAGTCAATAGCTGTTTTAAATTATGTCTTTTTAGATAGGTAAATATTTGGCATTCCCTCCAAAATTTCAGTTACCAATCAATATCTTTTCTTGAAGATAAATTTTGTCTAGGTTACCATAAACATTATGAGAGTCATGGATTTTGATTTCTTCAATACAATTTACATTCACACAGTGACCTAATTGCCCTAGCAAATCAAGAATTTCTCTTGGAATCGTTGATGTGTGTTCTCCCTATTCAGAGGTGTTGCTTGATTCCACCTCCCTTAGCTGACTGTTCTCAGGGTTTAGATACTAATCCACTGCCATGAAGAGCAGATCAATGTATTTTGTCATCCAACACTGCAATAACACTTGCATGACTCTCAAGAACTAAAGTATTAATAAAATTATCATCACATAATGCGTTACTCGCATATTTATCAAGATTATTGCAAAATTGCATCAAATTACACGATAATGATTTTTCATCAGTAATACAAACATGTAGCTAAGTTTAGTAATGAACCATTGAGTGCCCAAAAAGTAAAAAAGCAAAAACAAAATAATTCAAAAGAAAATTAAAAACGATTAAAGTGCATGTGCTGGCTTCACAATTAAGCAAACGGGTACTTACGGGATATTGATCGTAGATTAGATCCTTACGACCTTTGCCGGGATATAAAGGATGAGTATGGTCCTTGATAAATTTTGTGACAACCCATTTCCCAGAGCTTACTTTTCTAACTAAAATCATGGCCCTGCAGCCAACTCTTGTTTCAGCTCGTTGCCGTACAATCTTCTCACGCTTGTCAGGCATTCTGAAACCCTCTTTATTGCAAACAAGTGCACGACCAATGGCAGATCCATCGCACCTTGATCGAGAAAGCTTGCTCACACGGATGATGAATCCTAATTGCGTTGCATATGCATTATAAAATGCATGTGCTTCTGCTTCAGATTCAAACTCCTGGCCTACATATGGTTCATCTGCAGGACCCAAACTATTTATAGTTTGCGATTCATCCAGTGGAAATAAGTCCCCGACGGAAGAATCTTCATCCATTTTAATATCAAGACCATGCTGGAGTGTCCCATCAGCAGAAGTTCCTAAAATTGCATCTCCATCATCTGATCTCCCTACAATATCAATAGAACTTTCTACTATGCCATTGACGTCACCATCAATCTCAAAATCCACTGTAATAAACATGTTAGACATTCACTTAAGCACAACAAAGACTGAACAAGGGAAACCATAATCGTATATAAACATCGAGCAGTTTAGTTCAGTACAAGTCGACTAATGAGTGGCTTAACAAAATTTCAACTTCATCGCTACAATTTCAAATCATCAAAGACATGGTGCATTTTAAAGATTCATTGAACGGTGGAAGAGATGCCAAGCCTAACTAAAAAACAGATGCAATATTTCCTTTTAAAACTAAAGCATGATCGAATTCATAAAATATACTTTCGGAGTAAAAAGTAACTAAAAAAATAGCATAATTTTCACAATAATTATCGAATTATACATGATCTTCCAAATAATCAAAAATTTAAAATATGTATTACTATAATCATTTTTGGCTTTATCCAGTTATTCCCCAACATTAGTAAAACAAAAAAAAAAAACAAGGAACCCGACAAAGAAAAGAAGAACGAAGTCCAGTTGATTCCAAGAATAATTTCTCAAAATCAAGAAATGGGTTTCCCATTGAAGGTCCCTCATTCTCAAAGATTACAAAAACCCAGAAATTTTAGTCTAGTTAATACATCATATATATTCATGAAAATAAAACAAAAGAAACGAAGAACTACAACCATAAAAATGAAAACTTTTATCCAATTATAGAGGAAAAAATCGAAAACCCCCATATAAGGTAAACAGGAAACTTACTCCAAAATTGAGCAACCTCGTATAATCGACATTTTCAGACGTCCCTCAGACGCACGCGGAGGGCTGTGAGGGCTCAGCCTGAGGTTATATTGTGGGCCCAAATCAAAATGAGATGGAGCGATGTCATTGGTTAGAATGTCTAATAAGGTCAATTATTTTCCTGAAACCAATTATATTATGACACGTAGTAATAGCTAATGAAATCGTTCGTGTTTTATTACCGAGAAAATGAAGCAAATCCTTATATTTTAAATATACTTTTCAAATATCAAATCTTAAACTTTTCTTTGTGTTAATTAATATTTTTAATATGTTAATAAATATTTATTATAAACCCTCTCTCCTCTCTCTCTCTCCCCGCTCCCCCATTCATCCCAACCCCAATTACATTTCCAAAATCTCACAGAAGACCCTTTTTCCATTTCTCAATCTTCTCTCTACCACCCCTCTATATTTTGGAGCTGCAGTGGCGACTCGCATCACACACTGAGGCGCCGCTACTTGTAGTGCAGCAACAGCGCACACCTGTGAGAAGCGGCACTGCAAGGCCGAATCAGGGCGAAGTGTGGTTTCGAAACTCTGCAGAGTTAAAGATGACCAACAGAGTGTATATCATGTTTAGTTCGATTATTCCACTAGTTCTTCCATAGTTGATGAGGATTTAAATGATGTCATTTCGGATGCATGGGCTTTGATAGTCAAGCCCGACTGTACTATTGATTTTCCAGTTATGAGGAGAAGTCAGTTAGTCTTGTTCAGGTCTGGAGGCATTTTGTAAACTTGCATTTGGAAAGCTGATTTGGACTTGCTTAAATCCATTTCGGATGCATCAGCTTTGTCTAATTCTTTTGGAAGACACGCTGGTGGTAGTGGTGAAGTCATTGTGAGCTTGGCAATAAAAAGGCAAATCCTCTCACATTTCCAAATGAAGTTTGAAAATTTTCTTTCCTCGTTGATCAATTGCTTCAAATTAAACTGAAGCAACCTACAATGTTCTACCTTCTTCTTCAGGGCATAGAGCTGCCAATATCTTCCATGTTTGGTTGTGTGTTTGAGTTTGGGTTTGATCTATAAGTGGAATGATGAGGGTGTTAGTAGTGGAGGAGGGGCTGGCGGCTTGTTCAATTATTTGAGTTCAGTAGTAGTTAGAGTTGTGTGGATAGTGTTGGTAGTAAGGTTAGTTGCATTTTTAGTCATTTGATTGTGATCGATTTTGTGTTGATTGTGACTTGAGATTGACCTAGTCACAGACAGTCACACTCAACACAAATTTGGTCACAGTTAGTCACATTGAATTCACACTTGGTCACAATCAGTCACATTGAACACAAATTTTTTTTTGATAATTTTTGTAAGAGGTGGAGGCAGGGGTGGGGTGGTGGTAGATAAATCCATGTGTTGGGGGTGTGATTTTCAATTTTTAATTTTTTGGAAATTTTGAAATCACTGGAGTGGTTGCCGGAACAATCGTGGGAGCGGCCATCAGAGTGAAAATCGGAACAGTCGCCGGAGCAGTTCGCCTGACCGTCGCCGAAGCAGGTGTCGGAGATGGAGGGGTGGGTGAGGTGTCATGTGGTGTAAATAATTAATGTATATTATATTATATTTTAATATTTAATAAATTTATTTAACATTTGATTTTTGAAATATTTTAAAATTTTGTTATTTATGAAATGTAAACTTTAAAATTAGGAAATATGTATTGTTTCCTTTATTAACACCACAATACGGGTAAACGATTAGGAATGTCAATTGGGCTAATTTCGACCCATTTGAAATCGGTTCATATAGCTTAATCCAACAAAAACCAATTTTAGGAATGTCAAAAATTTCCGACCTACATGGACGAGGACAAAGAACGTGACGAACTTTTTAATTTAATTTTTATGTTTTTCAAACGAAATTGTATTTGAAAAATAAAGTAATAACATTGAACAAATATTTAACATCTTAATCCCCGTCACCTTAGGCGATGATGGTATTTCGATCCTCGATCCCGTTGTCAAACTCTAATTAGATAACAAAAGAACCCGTTGTAGGCATATAGTAAATGATAGAAAACATATTCAAATTTAGAGACTCTCCATACACTTCAAAAATGTTCTATATTTAACTATTTATTTTGCTTTTTTTTTTAAAAAAATAAAAAAGACATTTACTAATTTCTCCACATCTTTTATTTTATATATATATATAGAAGATTGATCTAATAAACATTGGTACTCATCTTATACTAAGCATCGATAACATGTCATGTTAAAATTTATTGGTGGATAATAAATTTAATTCAATTTTTTATCGGTACTCAGCTTATGCAAAGTATCAGGAGACATATCACACTACAATAGGTGATGTGTGTATGTGTGTGTCTATATATATATATGATTTAAATAATTTACAAAGTAAGGTATTGAAATCCGTAATTTATTCATTAGAATATAATCATGACGACACTTCTTAGTCTAGTGGATGAAAGTGCCAGAGTTACTAAAAGTCGCCTTAGTGCATCCATAAACGGAACCATCGTCAATGAGGAAAACAATCGAGCCTAATTAGTCGTTGATTTCTCTTCATCATCCTAAATACGGAGTATAATTTATCACGTAAGTATTATTATTTTTATATATCAAAAATTCTCGTTGACAATAAAACTCGAACTCAACATCTACATTTCTTTAGCCATAATCATCCTCCTCGTTATCAATATCTACTTCACGGTTTTGTAGTGAAAAGATTGTAAGGATGTAATCAACAAAATGAACATCGTCTACGAATTTCAAATACATTTCTCTAATTGAGAATGGAAAAGAAAGCTTAGAAAGGATTCTCCATCTTGTTTTCTTTACTTCTGTTTTCACTCTATAATGTCTTAGGTATTTCTACAATACGATCGCTTGTGGATAACAACCGCTAACCTCCATATGTAAAGATCCCCAGAAGTGCTTGCATCTTTCCCATCTTCCTAGCATGCGAGCCAGAAACGCCTTTGCCCATGGTTCGTTGCTGCCCTCCAAACTCAAGTCAAAAGGTACTGTAAAACTGATATTGAATATAATGCATCAGCAAAAACTAAAAACCAATCATTTTTACTTTTTCTTTTTTTTGAAGTAGAAACAGCGCCAACACCTAGGCTGAGGTTCTATGCCTCAACCTAGAACTATTGGGATGGTTTGGATTCCCGACTCTCTTTAATCTTTATACATAATCTAACTAGTGGAAGCAACTGCAATTTTTAGTGACTACCTGATTCACACGACAGCTCAAGTTTTATGTATGGGAAGGTCAAAGTTACTCTCCTTTCCACCTTTTAACAATCTATACTGCATGGCTCATTACATATTTTATTTTTTTCCTCTCATAATAGGTTGCTCCAGCTTAGTTCGTATGACCTAACAATAATTAATAATTATCATTGGCAAAACCATGATATTAAACTAATAACATGGGGTAAATCCCTTCATGAAACAGTTATGAGTTTTACAGTACTACTCTGAAGATTCAGCGGGAATAAGTTTTAGCATCAAGTGCTTCTTCATCTGAATCATGGAAAACTTGTTCATCGAGTGCTATTAATGGAAATATTCCGCAAACGAGAACAGTTTCAAACTGTGAAGTGAAAAGATAGACAAATAATCACCAAAGAAGCACCTTAAAAGAGGGGTTCTACAATTAAGGCCCATGCCTTATAATTCAATATAAAAGGAAGAAGCATCTTCAAATTACGATTACTAATATTCTTTTCTATAGTTTTCATAGTGGTTCCACAAAACAGCATAAATTAAAAAAATAAAAAATAAAAACTACATTTCAGAAGATCTACCTCATTAATTCTTGCCGAGATCCTTTACTGGATGCTTGATCACTACAGCATCACAAATTTCAGTGCAAATATATCATCAGTCAGCTACAACAAGACAAATTACCTCAAACAGATAGACAGCCTCAAATTTAACAATTAATAAAAATGCTGGCCAGAAGCTTATGCTGAGTTACTTAGATATCATTCTGACATGGTGATATGCCATATTGGTATATCTTTTCTTGGGAGTACATAATCTCAAGTAGGTTTTCGGACCATCAGATTAGAGTTAGTTACCTTCTTAAGCATTCAATTAGCCGAACACATCAGGTAATGGTCAAACTCATCCCTCCAAGGTGGACATGTGGCGGATGACGTCACAAGTGGATCGTGTTCAAGTGGGGCCTTTAATCCGATGTCAGAGGTTGGAGGCCAACATTATCTATCCTATATTATTGTCTCATGGGTACTTTGGATGTGGAAAAAAAAAGGCCACTCACATAATATTCCTGATAATTTCAGTTCAAAATGGAAACCTAGACATAAGTTTCTATATAATGATCTGCCAAAGTGGGAAATCTTAGCTTTGGAGCACGTAATTTCAACTAGGTTTCCAGATGATCAGCACAAAGGTATATGATATAACATTGTACCCAAAAACTCCACTGAAATAAGATTCCCAATAATAATATTCATGATTCATAATGGAAACCTTGATGCAAGTTTCTATCTGATGATCAGTATTCGTATAGCATTGCTTCAGAACATATGATTTTATTAGGTTTCCAAGATAATCGTAACAAGCTACACATACTACAATATGTACCACGGGCTGTCAACAATCTTGTACACATGAGAAATCATATAGCCCAACAAACCAATGAGATAAGACTATAAACTTCTATTGCGTCTTCTTCAAATTATTAACTTTTTATTTTTATTTTATTTTATTTTTTTTGAGGGGGAAGTGGAGGAAGGGAGGTACCAATCCTTAAACCCTTGACCTAGTTTTGAAAACAACCATCTTTAACCAACTGGGACAAGGTGAATTGATACAATCTAGACATACCTGCAGATAAAAATTTGAAAAATATGAAGAGACTTTGTTGAGAGATTATAAATAGCACGGTCAATATGCTCTTTCCCAAACAAGTACACTACTGGATAACCGAGAAGCCACCTGCAACGATAGTATATACAGCATTTTAAAATGTGATTGAGAATGAATACCAGACAAGATTCACACAAAAGCATTTGTAACATAAACACACTACAGGCATTTATTAGGTTGGCTTGACTACTCAAAGTTGAACCATGTAATTATAAGATGGTTTAATAATGTGGGTGGTTGAGGATCTATTATTCCACTAAAAGACAACAATGTATAGTCAGCCATCCTTGAAGCCAACACAGACATGATTCATGGGGTTTTATCCAAGTTTATTAATGAATGCAAAGAATGTAGTTTAATTTCTCAAGTTGAATCATTCTCCAATTCAATTTGCAAGTAACTGAATCGTTTTAGTGGACGTTTAATGGCTACTGAGGGAGTGGTTACAGCGTAGGCAGCAGCCAATTATTTTCTCCAGGTTTAGAATTGGAGTTTTCAAATTTGATTTTAGTACGGAAGAGATATAAGGGGAAGGAAATTAAGAGGACAGCTCTTCTGTGTGGTTTAGTTTGTGTTAATTAATGACCATTTTTATCTTTTCCTACCCAATCCATATTTACAACTAAAGAAAAAGAAAAGTGATGGCGCCACCCATTCCATGAGGAGTTCCATTCTAGATGGAACCGTTATTAGCCCATGTTTGTCTCCCATTATTTTTAAACTATTTTTTCTATATTCTCATTTTCAACCACAAATTCACAAAATAAAATATTCTACACATAAGCCCAAAACTTTTCCTTACTTTTTAACCACATATTCTCCAAAAATGCATTCTTCAAAACAATGTTTTTCCAAAAAAAAATGGCCACCAAACAAAGTCTTAAATTACTAGACTCCTAGTCATCACACTTTACCAAATGAGACCTCATTTTCTTAAAATCTCACTAAACTAAATGATAGTAACAATAATCCAGTCAAGGTTTATTCCAATTTCAATGTATCATAACAAGATGGCAGCTCTCAAAATTCTTATAGATTCTTGAAGAAAGTAATCTCTCCCAAGTGAATGAGTTGAATAATATGTCAACAACATGTGCAATAGATCCATTCTAACAACTGAAGGTGTCAAACCTAGTACTAGCCAGTACCAACTAGGAAATACATGACTGTTGATTTCAGGGTTTGAAGAGGGAAGTAATTTGACACTCGGGAGAAAGAAAATAGTGAACTAGGAAAATTCGAAGGCCGCCGAAGTATCAAAGCAATGATTGCAACAGATTCCAGTAAGGTATTTTCAATTCTGTTAGCATGTGAAATATTATGAGAGTGTGACTACAGAGTGCTAATTGGAACTGACGACGTGTTGATCAACTTCAACAGAACTCGCGCATTCCATATTAACTCATAAATTAGATGCAGTAGTAAAATATAAAGATGTCCAGGAAAAACAGACCAATGCACATTTGAGGGTAAAAATGGGGAATTACCCATTAAGGGTTGGCACTGTGACCTGACTTGTTTGAAGGCAGCAACTGAGATCAATTAACTCAGAAGACGCAGAAGTAACTGGCTCACTAAGAGAGGAGCCAGCATTAGCAGTTAAATCTATACCATGATTTGGCAAGGGATCACTATTCAGACCATCAGCAGAAAATACAGAGGCAAACAACTTCTGAGCTGATAGAAGTTCAAGTGCTGCTGAGCATTTTTCCCCTTGAGTTATCATCTGGAATCACAATAAAATAATATCTTATTAAATGAAAAGGAGAAAGAAAAGTATCTCTAGGAATATCCTTAAAAGTGTGAGAAACCTTCGGAGGATCCTTTTCAAGGTCCACAAAGAGCATTTCGATCTCCAAGTTTAGACTTGATTTGACGAAGTCTGCAAGTGCTTTGACCTGAATCAAATAGATCATATCTTCTATAACCATGACCCGCAGATGCTCAAAAACTGAGGACTCCTGAAAGCAGATGACATGTAATGCTATTGTCAATAACTGATAATCAATCTTCAACCCTTTGGATCAATTCTTGAAATGGAACCATGAGAAATAGTCAAAGAAATAAAAAAAAATTCCAGCAATGACTTCTCACAACTGATTCTGGTTTTCCAATTTTCAGGCATGTGCAGGAACTTCTTCCTTATCATTTTATGTTCCATGATAGTAACCAAATAAAATGCTATAAACACAGCTCTGAATTTAACCATTACGCTTCTCCTAATGGAGCTTAATATCCTAGGCCAGGGGGAAAAGTAATGGCCAGCCTAATATATTCAGTCACTGACTTGCATATCCTCCGGTATATAGCGCGTCCTGTAATAGTTTTGTGTGCCTTAATTAGCCAACAGAAAGTCATGAAAGTTGATGGTGAATGGATAATCATGCATTTTCTCCAACACATCTTATATCGTCATCATTCTCAGTGGCTTTTGTGCACAAATTCAGGATAATATTAGTAACAGTGAAATTAGACTAATAGACTAATGCTCGTCAGTAACATGACAACATGCTGGAACATTTTCATCCTTTTGCCTCAGAATGGATGACATTCAACCAAGTGCAAGTGATTGGCAGTGTGACGACATCATTTTCCTTCCAGTCTTCGGTGGCTTTGATGAAATAAAATATGAGTAAAAACAGTAAAAGTTGTTCAGATAAGTAAAATTTTATTGACAAGTGCCAAAGAAAATGGGAGCACAGCTCTTGTACAAAGTTGTGCTTTGCTTGCCAGCAAAATAAAATACAGAGTCAAGTTATCAAGATACTACATTTTAATAGCACTCGTCCAGATGGCTCGGTCGAATTAATTAGGTACAATCCACTTCCTTACCCTTTTATTTGCAATTACATCCTGGTTGCTTCCTCTCTTCTCATAATCACATAGCAATCAAATATGTTCAACACATATATATGCCTTGACAGAAGTTCACACATTTCCCATTTTTCTTCTAGCTATAGTGGAGAGTCAGGAAGGTGAATATCAAACCAAGGAGTTGGACATTCTATGGAGTGCCCTTTGAACTTAAGGTGGAAAGAAGTAGAAAGCTAAAAGAACGCACAAATCCAGTCTTTAAAATTGTAGATTTAGCAAGAATAAATAAGCCACAGAGAAATTATAATAGCCCTTAATCCTAACAACTGAGTCTAGCCATAATACAAGGCAAACTGCAGCAGGGATCAAATTCAGCAAATGTACAGTCGGGACCTATGTCAGATACCAGATATATGTCCAAAAAACACTCTAGAATGAACTTCAAGATTAAAAAGCAACAACATGAATAATTGTCAAACACTCTTGTTAACCTTATAAAATTTACCTTTTCCCCAAAAAATATTTTGATCAGTTAGAAAATTATGTCAGTAAAACTAAGACTCCAAAGACTATATTTTCAGACATAGCCGTATTATAGTTTACGATGAAAAATTAAATCATTGCTATTTCGAAAAGCTGATAAGGAAGCTCAAACCTTTTTGCAGTGTTTGAGAAATGCACAAAGTCGTTCCTGCAGTTCAGGCATCTTACCTCCATAGTCTACCATTATAACTGGTCTCGTCTCAGTGCATAAGGCCAAAATATCTGTTTAAAGAAAGTCGCCTAATCATTCATCAATCTATTACAATGGCAATTGACCCATCAGTAACAGGAAACTAGAATTGGAGTTCATATAAAAACAATCCACTCCCATAAAATTAATGTTTTCTCCATATCTGAACCAATAAGATTAACTAATGAAACCCACAAATTGAACATAATTTTAAATTTGAAGGAACCCAGAAGCTCACGTAGAACAAAATTACAATTAATAAAATTTGGAAAATTAAAATAAGACGAAACCTGTCTCAAGACGACGCTTAGAAGGAAGCTTGAGTCGCCATTTTATTTGAGAAATTGAACTCTCAAACACTCTCAGTATCTCTTCTAATACTCCAACCTCCATTCAAATACTTCCAACGAAATGATTATCGCTGTGTGTGTAAGGAAGAGAGTGCGCAGCTACGTGTTGCAGAACAGGGGGAGACCAAAATGGCAAAGTAAAACAATTTTGTAACTTCGGCGACTACTTACGCAAAGCCAGAGTTCGGTTGACTGGCACATTGTAAGAGTTTGACAAGAAGCGGAGCCATAGATTGGTCATTGACCCGGTCGAGGCACCTTGTCAATGAGTTGAGTCACTTATTCAATCGTTGAGTCACTAGTTCAATCAAACAAATTACTTATTTGGTTGGTCGAGTTTTCGAGTTATCCGTCTAGACTCGGCTGATTTTAAATTATGAGCGAAACATTGTAAAAGTTTGGCGACGAGTGAATCCCTAATTTTTAAACTTGTTCTGGATAATGACTTGGTCAAAGCACCGAATCAACGAACTAAAGTCCATAAAGTAAATAATAACCTAATCCATTTAGGAAAATTCTTGTGGTACATTATGGGATTCATAAAGGGATCCATAATGGACACATTGCGGCGTACAATTGGTAGGAGTGCCTGTGGGATCGGCACTCCAACCAATTGTAGGTCGCAAAGTGTCCATTATGTAGACCCTTATGGATCCCATAATGTACCACAAGAATTGTCCATCCATTTATTTTATTTTTCTTATGGGCTCTAGAAAAAATTCATAAAAGTTAAATCTAAATTGTTGAAATTCAAAGAAACATAATATTCTTTTATTATATAATTATTTAATAATGTTGGTTTCGATAATCTCTTTTATTTTTTATCTGATTACTCACTACTTAGAAATTTTAAAGATGACTGAGATCATATTTTTACTGGGAACCACTATTTGCATCCTCAATTATTACACACACACACACATTTTTAAAAAGAAAATTATATTACATTTATAACCTTCTATAAATTTACTTAAATATAAATATATATAATTAAATAAAAATATATTACTCTACATTCATCCACTAACACTCTGTTTGTTTCTCATTAATTCCTCATTTGTAAAAGAAATCCAAGCGTTAGTGGACTTCACCCAGCCGCAACATTTGAATTGCTCCACATATTTTCAATAGCAACGATCACTTTTCAAAGGCAACTGTCATATTTTTTCTACTTTTGCACAGAAAATGGGAAACAAATAGGGGTTAATATTTATTTTCATTAAATTCTTTTGGACCTTTTTATATTCTTTTAAAAATCAAGATTAGGGATTGAAATTGAAAATCTTGAATTTAAATAAACCTAATGGCAAATTGATAATTTATAACAATCATACGTTGTGTCCTCATTAATCAATACTCAAAATTCAATAAAATCTTCAAGAGTCTTTAAAACTCGACGTTGAGTGTGTTTTTACACACTAATTGGACGCTTGAAACATGAGTATGTAAGGAAATTAATCAAGCATGGAATAATTTTTCTTACATTTGTTAAATCTAGTGAGAACTTAGCGAATCCATTTACTAAACCTCTTACGAGAGAGTTAGTAAGATCAACTTCAAATAGGATGTGGTTGAAACTCCTTAAATAAATCTACCAATGATAGCAACTCTACCAAATTATACTAAACAAGTATATTTAGGTTCAAGGGGTAATAACAAGTCATTCGATAAGTGGATGAATCTCAACTCTATGGAAATTATTAAATCATATCATTGACGAATATTGTTGGTTGTTATTGTTAGAGGGTTGAATTATAAATTCTTAATGAAGTTCAGTACGGAGTATAAGTATCTTTAAAAGTAGCAAAAATACTGAAAGAACTTCACCTATGTGAACTTCGAAGTGGTGCCGCCTTATTAGAGAGTTGGAGTTTTCTCTATTTAAAAATTCAAAAAAAAAAAAAAAATAGGATAAGTGCAAGGCTATATTAGCACTAAGCAGGTTAGAGGAACTTGTGAATGTTAACACTTGTGTGTGTGATTTCATCGGTATTGTCACAATGAATAACTGGTTCAAAGCGTTCTAACTACCTGAAATTTCGATAATGCTTTATGAGATTTACACTACGGATATATTCAAATCGAAAGGTATTTAACTCTTATGTATAAGTGTTGATATTTGATTATATGATAAGAGTTAATTTTGAACAAGTGCGAGATTGTTGGAAATCTTGTTGTTCAACATCATAATTTGATGGATTAAAACGTTTATGTATGGATGAATTTGGAATAGAAAACAATGAATTTGAAAATTCTGATCGTTAATTTCAAATTTTGGCAATATTATAAGGGTTCACACTAATACTTTTTTCTTCACATTTTCTACGAGCCCACGAGCTATTCGCGAGCTCGAGCCGTCCATGGACCGAGAAGGCGAGCCAACGAGCTACTCAACCTTTTTGCCAAGGCATGACAAGTAGTGGCTATAAAATTTTTGGCAATATTATAAGGGTTCTTAAGAGTCATTTCATTAATTGTGTGCTATTTATTATTGAAAAGATCGATGTGGTTGAATTAAAGACAACAAAACATGTTGTCGGATTAAGATGGCTCCTTGAAATGGAACTGAAGAGTCACCTTCAGTTTTTGCTGGGTATTGGATGGTTTCTATTAAACGAAACAGAAGTTCTTGATTTCATACATGTTCTTATTTGAATTTGATTCATTGTTTCAAGAATTATAAAAAATATATTTAAATTTATATATGCTAGTTATCTTATGAGCATTCCACATTTCTGTATATAATAAATAAATAAATAAATTTATACAGCACCTCGATGTTGTCATTTAGGATTGTAATATATTTTTAGGGTTCGATTGAGCATTGTGGAATCTTTATTCAACGTGGACTGAATTATTAAGTTCAAAATGGATACTCTGTATCGAATTCGAAAATATCAAGTGTTAGAATTGACATCCATCTGATACTTCTAACAGTAGTATGGTAACAAAGAATCAGTCCACTTAAAAGAATGAGTAATCAATTTGGCTTACATCCCTACTTTCATATAAAAATGCTGTGTTTTGCAAACTACAATTTTCATGGTACCATTTCTAACTATAAATACAAAAGAGCAAGATTTTCAGTTGCTGTTCACAAGCCGAGCCGAGCCGAGCCGAGCCAGATGACTTGACGGCTCGGCTAAGCCGTCTA